TTCAGAAAATTCATATTAAGTCCAACAAGAAAGCAACTGGCCAGGCAACGTCCCTGCAGCAGATGATAAGGTAACTGGGGGTGATAATGCAGGCATTGACAAAATCATCCTGAATGTTTTATGTATTATCACTTCTGAAATCTTCAAACACCACAGGGAAGTAAGGGTTTGTTATCAAGTATAATTTAACTTTAAGATGTGCTGTATGGAGTACAGATAGTAAACAGAATACCCAGTGGATTTACTATGAGTTTCCCAAGGGACTTAGCAGTTAAAATTCTTATCCCACTGTGCTTCTCCCTGATCAGTCTGAATCCCAACATTTTTATGTGACACAAAGACAAGAAGAATTACAGAATCTGTGAAGAGATGAATGCTTTATAAGTGTTCTCAAAATGGAGAGAGAATAATCAAGGAATTCAGTTCCTGTGAATTTAAATGCAGAACCAAGAAAACATCAAGAGCAGAAATTTGCTGAAACTAATGGAAGATGTCAAAAAAACAGAAAGCCAAGCATTCATGAATATCAAAGGGCCACAAAGCCTGTGGAATACTTACCAGGACACACTTGTTATACTATTTCTTTAGATTAGCAGTTATATGTTTGCACCTGCATGTGCACAGACAGGCACGATGCTTGCCAGTGCCTTTTTGTGTTTTTCAGGGGGCATGACAGAGACTTATCATCAAAAGGAAAATATTGTTATGGAGAGCAGCAGAACAAGAAGACATACAGTAAAACTCAGTATTCTCTAAACACGCCTTCAGTGAGTTGAAGGTGTTGACAGGACAAAGGCAATTGGCACAAGCTCAGAGGAGTTTCCCTCAAACACAGGAAAGTCTTCTATTTGTACCTAACTGTGCAGGTGACTGCAGAGCACTGGCTGTCCAGAGAGGCTTCAAGTCCATCTCATTGGACATCTTCAGAAGACACAGGACATGGCCCTAGGCAACTTATTCTTGGGGGCCTGCTAGAGAGGGTTAGGACTGGATGGACCACAAGGTGCTTTCCAAACTCAACATGTCTGTGATTCCATGGGTTACAAAATGATAGTAAGAGGGATGGGTTAGCTCAATATTGATTAGATGGACAAATACCAGTGGGAGAGTCGCTAGTGAGAGCCAAGATGAAGAAAAATGAAGCAAGGAACAGGCAAAACAAACTTGAAACAGTTGGAAAGAGAATGTGAAGTCACAAAATAAATGTCAGCAAGGTAGAAGTCAAGAAATCTACCAGAAAGATAAATCTAGTAGGTAAAGAAAAAGAATCTACCCTGAGGTTGACAGGAACCTGAAAGTCTATTGATTCAACTCAAGTAGCTTTTGTCCTGTTTGCTTCATAATAGGAAAAAGTTGGAGTAAGCTCCAAGTAGATCTTTTCCCAGATTTCCCTTCTCTTTCATAATAAACTCACAGCTGATCATGAACTTGTGCAGGATCTCCTGCTCCAGCGGGAGCAGTAAGTCTATGGGGCCCAATGGGATGCATTCCAAGGTACTTGATGTCATCTCAACACCTCTCACAATCCTTTTTTCAATGATCTGAGAATATGGAGAGGTCTCAGTCTACTGGAAGCTGGCAAACATAGTCCCCGTTTTCCAGAAGGGCAAGAAAGAAGAGTCTAGTACAATCACAGGTCTGTCTGTCTCATTTTGGTGCCCAGTAAAATTGTAGAGAGCATCACTCTGGGAGTTATTGAAGAACGCTTGAAAGACAATGAAGTCAATGGTAACAGCCAACACAAGTTCACAAGGAGAAAGTCCTGTTTAACCAACTTTATCTTATTTTATGACAGTGTTATCCACCTAGCCGACTGGAAACCATGTGTAATCTTTCTGAATTTCAGCAAAGCTTTTGATACTGTTTCTCACAGTACCCATACATACAGAGCATACAGCTAGATAAAAACATAATGCAGTGGGTGAACGGTTGATGGATTGGGCTGAAAGGCTTATAGTAAATTGGATTACATCATTCTGGAGAAGCCAGTGGGGGTTCTGCAGGGCCCCATTTTAGGGCCATTTGTCTTTAATGTTTTCATGAGTGACTTGGATACAGGACTCAAAGGTGTAACTGTGGATGATTGCAAATTGAGAGGACCTGTTGGCTTCCTTCAGGGAATAGAGGCACTGTAGAGAGATCTTGACAGACAAGAGGGCTGGGCACTCACCAACCACAAGTACTGGATTCTGCACCTGGGACAGGGCAGCCCTGGCTCTATACACAGACTGAGTTCTAACTAAGCTTCTTTCAACACATTATATCACAAAATTTTCAGGATTGCAACTTGTTTCCTTGAATGCAATTAAAATGGCTGTGCCTTAGAAATACTGTAGAGTCACTTCAGGAAGATTTCTGCAGTTTTTTCTTTTGAACAAAGATTTCTGTCAACATTATGAAAGGAAATGACAACTTCAGTGCTCATAGCATCCCCCCACACTCCTTGAAATGATTCAACAGCTAAAATGTACCCTTTATTCCAGGTGTGAGTAATTTTAATGCCTTACAATGCTTCACAAGAAAAAAGTCAAGAACGCTTTTTTTTTTTAACCATTCTCTACACACACAAAAAAAAAAACAACAATGAAAAGGAAACTAGAAATGCGGAGACTTGAAATACACCAGAAGTTGCACATCAAGAGTCTGTACATTCAAGCAATCTCATTCTGAGTTTCATAATATTTCTATATCACGTTTCGGTTTGTCAACTACCCCAACAAATTGTTGGCAAGTCTACAACTTTCATGAAAACAAAAACAAAAGATCTTTTCAGCCAAAGAAGCAATTCACAAACCGGACCATGAGTACCCTTCAATTTGAGTGCCGTGTGGAGTAACAAACCGGGGTTCCTCTCTCTCCCACACTTTTCTATTACCACAGATAAGCTCCTAGCAGAGTTTCAGAAGCAGCAGCCTTTTCAGTCAGCACAATTAAAACTCCATCGAACCACCCCGTGTTCAACCTTTAAAATAATTGCTACTGTGCCTCTATCAGAAAGCTCAGTATGACAACAGGATCTCAGACCTCCGTCTTTCTGTGAGGCTTCTTTCCTCTTAATAGACAGTTTGTAAAAAGGATCCTGAACTCAGGGCTGAGGTGGTGGTACATCACTTCCAGCAGCACACAGAAAGAGTCTATGGCTTTCAGGGATTTCCAGCACAGTGCTCCATGCTGCAGCACCTTTAGTCTGAGCTGCAGCCCTTTGTGACAGCGAGGATGAGTTTGATGAAGGATAAGGGAGAGATTTATCTACAGTCACTCCTGGAGATTCAGAAATAATTCTTCGTGTCACTCCTCCAAAGTAAAACATGCTCTCAGTTCTCTACAGAGAATCTTTGTTAATAATGAAATGTAAGAAGTAAAAAATATTTACCCATCAGTAAAATCCCTAAACAGGGTATCAGCAGTTGTTTAACTGGAGGAAGGGGCAGGTAAAAATCACAATTTCTGTCTTCTTCCCTGATTTTCAGGAGAATGTTTCTACCACATGGGATGGGAGGAGTTATGAATGGAATACACACATTTAGAGCAAGTTTTTCTTTACCCTGCTGTTTTCCTACAGAAAAACATCTGTTATAACTTTTTCAATTTCAACTTTAGCGAGTAGTTCACTACTATCTTATCTACCACCAGCAGCTTATTACCAGAGGAAGAAAAAAAACTGGCAGAAGTAAATAATGATACACTCTTGTATTCAGCTTTAATATAGCCTCACCACAAACCACTACCAACGCTTAAATTCAACAGAGGTTGTGACTAAACACTCATGACACTCCCAAAAGCACGCAATCCTGAGTAAAAAGCCTTCCTAAACCTGATGACAACATCTACAAGTAAGAAGCAAGACACCAGCACACACAGTCAAAGCTGACTCTCCATCCATTAGACAATTTCAGTCCCCACTTTCATAGCTTTAACTGCAACCATATTGCTGTATGGCCTACATAAAACCTTGCAGCAAACACCTTGCTCTTCTGAGGTCTTCTGCTTGTTCTCCCTATACATTACACTAAGCACAGATTCCTGTCTTCAGATTTAAAGACTTCACAACTCTATCTCCTTACTTAACAGCTACAAGTAGAACTAACAAGTCCCCTAACTCAGCTGGCATTTTCTTCCATCTGCCCCCCTGACCGTCAGCTTCTGCTGTTATGTGTCTGTGCTTTCTTCCACTTTGCTCATTATGCATACAGGGCTATCTAATTAAATTTATAATCCCTTATGTCTCAATGCACTTTTAAGGTTTTTATTTCCGTCAAATCTAAAACCTTCCACCAACTGGCCCTGGCTTAATCCTTCCTGGCAGAGTTCACCCTTCTACATATATTCAGTTCCTGGTTAAAAACAGGCAAATGGCTACAGACACGTGCCTGGCAAAGAGATGACAGTTCTTCAGCACAGCTTTTATCTTGTGTGTTAGCTCATCTGTTTGTCTCTTTAGACTCTTCACCTGCCAGAACAGAACTCACAAACTGTTGCAACAACACTCAGTCCAGTACAATGCGATCTCTCTGGTAACTGAAGCATTTGGGTACTATTATAACAAATATTTACGAAAGCAAGAATGCTCTTGTTTCCCAAGCAGCAGCAGGAGGCATTAACGTGAGGTTATCCTGGCCCCCCCTTTGGGATAGCACCTGCTTTAGTTAGCTGAGGATACAGGTCAGCTAGTAATGCTGTATTTCCACAGGTATCCTAAAAATCGCAGCTTCTGCTTCAGAAGTTTTAATTTTGTCAGCTACTGCCCTAAAATAAACAAACAAAAAGAGCCACTACCTAACTATAATAAGGAGAGCATCTTCATTAGACTACTTAAAAGAAATAAGTTCAAAGAGCATTAATTGATATGGATTTAAATAACATATTTCTAAATGTCTGCCCAAATGCATGTGTCATACTACCAAATTAAATACTTCTTCCTTGCCAAAGTTCTGTGTAATAAAACGAACTTCCAAGGAAGAAGCAACAACCAGATAGCATCAATGCCATTCTCTCATTACCTGTTTCCACAGTGTTTTCTGTTTCTGCTGCCTCCAAACCATCCATACTGTCTTCATCCTCCACTGCAGTTTTTCCTCTACTCCGAGGCCTGCAAACATAGAAGAGAAAACTGTTCATAAACTGAAAGCACTTTTAATTGTTTTTTTATTATAAGCTTTATTCCCAACTTAAATAATTTCATTTTGGAGGGATAATTATCAGCATTAAATTGCACAACATTCAAGCAGTGATTTGAGTGCTCTGCAAATCAAAAGTTTCCTCCCCTCTCTTCCTGTTTTAGGTAACAAACAACATTCGCTTCAGTCAAGCCCTTCAATTTTCTGGCTATTATTATAAGAAAAATTCAATCAAACTTATCCTGATTTTAAAAAAAGCACCAAAAACATTAAACCAGTACATTATATGAGTATTCTATTTGCTATACATCTTTTCATTACAAAGAAGATAATTTCTGAGATGTCAGAGAGCACAGCCCAAAATCTGGCCAGTAGTTCCACATGCAATAAAACAGACACTAACCCATTCAAAGCACCAAGCACCCTTGGAAGAAATTTCTATCAAATAATACCAATACTAAAGCAATTCAATCGAAACACGTTTTATTTTCAGTGAAATAAATGTTCTGACACTTAAAACAGAACATTAAGAGAGAGATGGCTAGATGCTACCACCTTAAAAAAGAGTTAATGTCAGGACAGCAAATCAAAATTAAGATACCAGACAGATCTAGCTCCATTTCAACCAAGCTCTGACAGAAAGCAGAGAGCCTTGTATCACAAATTTCACCCTTTTTTTCCTCTGCCTGGCTTTTCAACAACGAGCACGGTGGGCTGCTGAGAAGCCTTAGCATCCAGATTCCCAGCTGTTCAGCAGCCCATTTGAAAGGGAGCCAAGAGCTTGGCACTTCGCCTCCCAAATTTTCAGGCTACTTGGCAACTTGCCTGGCGTGCTGACAGAAAGCCTGAGAGACCCTGGGAGCTTCTGATTCCAAGTACACAAATTCTGAGCAGTTCGGGGCATCTCGGTGTTTCCACAGTCCCAGAGCTCCAAGGCAACCATTCACCCAACCAGCCCGCCTTGGATCAGGATGTCACCCAGGCAGCTCCCTGAACAGAAACCCCTTCGGGTTCCTCTTTCATGGAGAATTCTGAGATGTTTGGGTTTAGTTCCATGTTGGGAGAAGCTTTGTTAGTTTCTTTTCTTTCTTCTTCTTTTTTTTAAGTGATGAAATAATTCCTAAAATCAGCATTTCCTTTTTTTTTTTTTTTTTTTCCAACCGTTAAAATACTGAGATGTAGCAGTAGCATTACCTCAGAACTAGATCTGCTATATCAGCTAAAAAATATACACTCTATCATGCAGTGCTTTTGGTTCTCAAGGATCAAAGACGACCACACGCACAGAGCTGGGACAGACCATCACCTTCTGAGCCTACGTGTGGTGCTCTGCAGGAAAGCGAGGAGGGCCTGCCTGGTCCCACCTAACCACATCCCTTCTAATTGAGTTTGGGAGAGGTTTTGTCACTTCAAAGAAGGAAAGGAACAACTTTAACACAGCTAAAACCAAAGGCTGAAAAAACACTCATTTACAAACGAGCAAAGGGGAAAGAGCAAAGTAGGAAGAGATCAAGGATAGAAGGACTTTCGTTTTCTTGGCATTCTTGTAGGGTTTGTTCAGATAAAGATGAAAACTGTGGGAGTACCCATAACCCTACGGATAGGAGGATACCATTCTGCTAGCCTGCTCACATGTGAGCAGTGACAGCATACACATAATAAACGGCAGTTTTCTGAGACCAGAAAAGAAAACAGTAACCCCTCCAATTATCCACTGTTCTACAAGCCTCCAGTACAGCTCCTTAAAACCAAAGTGTCATATATATTTAAACCAGAACAAACTGCACAGTGCCATCAGAAGAAGCTGCCATACACGGCACCAGATAGCCATTACATTTCTTGTGGTTCTACTGAACAGCCCCACATCAGCCAGCACCAGATGGATGTGGGACTATGCAGGTAAACACAGCCACTTGCTGCTGGAATGCTCGAAGGCTTCCCAATGTTCCCCAACACATTTCTTCAGGCAAAGGTCTCCGGGCAGAGAAAATGACTGTTCCTTGTTAATCTAATAATTTGTACGTGGTTTGGGGTTTTCTCTCACAGCTACACGTTGTGTATTAGGCACTAAAGTACTCACAAGGCCCTTCCAAGCACAAGAGCAGTACTCACTCCCTGAACTCCCTGCCATACTTTAGCAACCTATTTAACACTGAAGAAAATCAGAGGCTTTAATTAATTAAACATAATTGCTTCTTTTCAGCAGAAGATACAACCACATCTGGTGTTATTTGCCACCCCCCTCCCCAGGATCCCTCTAAAAGCCTTCGTAACGTCAGGCAGGTTGGAAATGAGGTACTGAAGGCGTTGGAAGAAAATACTAGATTATATCATTAACTTATTTTCGTTCATTACCTCTCTTTCACAGTTGTAGGAGATTTTGGAGCCCGCAAATTTATTTTTGGCTTTGAGAAAAATAATTCAAGTCACAAAACGGTGAAATGCATTCCGTGCTGACAGCTGTAATTTAACTTTTCCACAGAAAATACCACTTGAAAAGTCTGTAACGTACAGCTAATTGTTTCAATCAATATTTGCACTAAGAACAGAATCACAGAAGATCCCAAGTTGGAAGGGATCCGTAAGGATCACCAATTCCAGCCACACAGCAGCACCAAACCCAGCCCTGTTCTCTGTGAGCTCCAGCCCTGGGGCCGTGCCCCCACTCCATGCCCACCACTCTGGGCACAGCCTTTCCCTCAGCCCAGCTGCCCTCCCCTGACAGCTCCATGATATTCCCCCAGGCCCTGTCGTTGCCCTCGGCTCCCTGTGAGGCTGTATGGCCACGATGCCTTCCTTCAGCCCACTCTGCTCTGTGCACAACAAACCCAGGGCCCTCGGCCACCCTTCACACCCCTTGCCCTCCAGACTCTTCCTCATCCTCCTTGGTTTGACTGTGCCTGGATTTTTCCCTAACAAACCATGTCACTTCTTAAAAATTATTTTTCTATTTGCTTTCTCTATTCCTCTTCAAATACATTTGAAAAAGCACTTTAAAAATTGAAACGACACTTTATTCTGCTCTCAGGACTTGAGTCTTAGTTACTAACCAGGCTAAAACTTAAGCCTCTTCCCACTGGAAGGTTTTCTAGAAAGCTGTATCCTTTGGACTCCAAACAGGTCAAAAGCAGGTGAGTTCATAAGTGTGCAAGAGAGCAATGCACCTCATCACCCAGCCCCCCAGTAACACCCAGCACTTCCCCACAGCAGACCAGTTCCCAAGCAGCTCATCTCAAATGCCACTGTCAGGGAAGCAGTGATACACCAAATTTCAGTCACTTGGTTGTTGTTTTTCTAGCATATACTTTCTCAAACTGGAAGCAACAAATATTGCATTACTCCAGTCGAGTATAATTACTGTCTACAATAGTTTCACTCATATTCACAAAACATTGAGTCATTTATCAAAATCCTTTGTGACCTACTCCAAAATTTGCTATCAATTAGCTTTCCTGGCTAATGCCTTCATTAATCTCCCTCTTTAAATACATCCTAATAAATAAAATTATTGTAAGCAACTAATCAAATTCAGCCCACAGGAAAAAAAAAAAAAAAAAAAAGCCCAGGAAAACCTGTCATAGAGCTCAGCAGATCATCAGCTATTCCATTTGCAGTGGGTTAAAAACCTCACTGAGGTTATTTCCCAGCTTTGACAGCTTCACAGTACAATCACCAAGCACCCGAATGGCTTCTGCTGAATTGCACAGAGCAGGGTGGATGTACAGCACTAGGATAAAATGGAAAAGTGTATCTTTGTGGCATTTGTTTTGTTGTCAGTATTTATTTTTACTTTAAGTGCACATTTTCTTCACGATAACCCCCCCCCCCCCCCCCACCTCCATAACCTTATGAGTACAACATTAAAAAATATATATATAGGTCAACAGGACACCTTGATCTTACTCATTCTTTCCTCAAGGTCATCAGTAACAAGGCTATATGGGCCAGTAGCTTCCGGAACCATGTGAAAGAACTGAAGCAGCAACGAGCCTTAGATGCTTGTCACTCCCAGTTTCTGATCAGCCACAAGTTACAGCCAGACGAGTTTTTCTGTAAGTTGCCACCACCAAAATCAGATGCTGATTTGTTCAGAGCACCCTGAGAAGCCACCTTCCTAATCTGGTGGATCTTGCGTCAGTCTTACCACCCTGTCTTCATAGGAACCATCCCACAGCTTCATCCTCTTTCTCAAATGCAGTAACTTTTAAAATGTTCGGGGGAGGAACTGCCCTCCTTTCTATGTGAAATGCTGAGCACAACGACGGTACTAAATATATAAAACAAAGCCAATAACCTTAAAAAGTGGTGTAACATCTGGGATACAGTAACGTCCTAAACCAGCACAGATGTCTTGTTAAATGAACATCTGTCCACAGCCTTAGCCTGGAAGACGGTAGAGCAGTGATTTATAAAAAGGCTCAATTAGTGCTGCAGTCAGCAGGGCTCGCACCAAATTGATGTTCACATGACAGTTTCACAAGTGAAAGCTGTTACCGTCTTCTCGATAATCCTCTTAGCAGGTGTGCAAAAGTGCATGCTCTTGGGATTTTCCAAAAGCAAGCTGTAAGTACAGCTGTAACAGCTCAACAGTGCTCAAGCACACACTGGAAGCACTACGGTTCAGCTACGAGCCCCAAGTGAAGGAAATCACAGTGAGCAGGCAAGAACCAACTGATGGAAATATCTTTACACAAACATGTTGTCCCCAGTCTCTGAATGCTACGTATCAGTGCAAAGTCTTTACTACTCTTAAGAGTTGAAGTTCTCCACACATCTCCTGCTGTATAAAAGAAACAATATGGCTTCAGAAGCAAGTGCCAGCTAGCTAGGATTTATTTCAATAGCTCCAAACACTAACAAGCCTAAAATAGGATAATTGCTATTACATCGACTCCAGCTTCAAAGTGATCTCAATTTGGAAGTTTCTTACAAGGATGTTTCAAATTGTACAACCAAAACATCAGGTGA